AAAAATACTTAAGTACAGTAACGAAGTCCATTTACTCAAGTACTTTACACCACTGGTTTATAAAGCATTATTTATAAATTTAAAATTATAAATTTATAAAGTTGTGCGCGTGCCAACTTTAATTATTATTTTTTTTACCTCAGTAAGCGGCATAGCAGGTGACGGTGTTGATGTGATTTTAACATCATGGCCAAACGGCATGGACAGCTCGATCTGAGGGACTTCGGATTTAAAAAGGCAAAAAGTAACATTTCAGGTAAGTCAAGAATCAGAAATATCAGGTCACACTTTTTTTGACCCATAATTTATACAACATGTGCATCTATTAGTGGAAATTGATTGATCATGTGCTAAACAGATTTTCGTACAACCAATTAAAGGTATGATCACAGAAAGGTATGTTGTATAAAGCTCTACATTAACGGTTTAATGTCATTAATATATTTACCGTGCAGCTCCTCTATTGGTTGAACTGATTTTATTTGTAGTCCTCATTTCACGACACTTAAAAGCTGGTTCCGTCACACTTAGGAATTGGGCTTAGACTTTGCTTAAAGTTACTTTTAGCAGCTTTATACAATGCTCTAAGGTCCTCCGTTTTTCATAATTTTTTTTTTTAATAACTCATGTCCAAGTGTACGACCATTCTTAGGAAGTTTTATGCATACCGGCCCCGGCTGCAGCCAGAATGCAGCACTGCTTTTGCACTGCTGTGCCACAGGCACTGCCTGGAAGGGCCCAAGCCGCCAGTCCTGGGTGCCAATGCAACAGCACCAGGTGGGGGCACCCACGGAGTGTGATGCTGGGAACTGCTATGTGCTCATGACCAGTGTTGGGGGTAACGCGTTACAAGTAACGTGCGTTACGTAATAATATTACTTTTCTTAAGTAACGAGTAATATAACGCATTACTTTATAAATTTACACATTAATATTTGAGTTACTTTTTTTAAAAAGTAGCGCGAGTTACTTTTCTATTTTAATTAATTTGCTTAAAAATATATTTAATTAAAACGAACGTAGTCACGTAGAATCACGCACTCAGTGCTGCTTTGAAAATGCTTTCGGTGCTGACCACGCCCACCCTACGGCAATCATTGCGTCAAGGCGGGGATTGGCGGAAGCGCGTTACGTTTAGATCGTTTGAAACATGGCGGCTGGAGATCTGA